AATAAATCGCTACCAATTGATTGAATATGCTTTAAACCATATGATGGTTTGAGAAAACCACTGCATTACACGCCTGTAGTTAGATCAGGTTACGCCACGTGGCGTGAGGGACTCCGATTTGTTTGACGTAATTGAATTGGCTTATATATGTTTGATTTGCTTCCGAGCTTACAATATATATGTGTGTCAGGCTAGAGAACAGCTGTGTACTGAGTAACCCAATGGGCTATATTTCACTACATCCTCAGACGTACCAACATATTTATACAGCCGTTTCGATCATGCATAATGATAACCTCTGATTCTGCCGCTTAGATCATTTATATCGATAACCTTTCACACTTTTCATGCGATTGACAAAAAAGGCAACTGTATATGTTTTGTAAGTTATATATAAGGATGTATTTGATATGTTGGTATGTCTGTTTAATATACAGCCATATTCTGCGGTCACTACGTACAATTTTATGGCGCATAAATATACAAGTGTATGCTAGATACTGAACAACACGGGGAAACATAAGCTGTTCATATATTTGGGCCTCGATTTTATTAATAATTTCTGTCTGATGTTAAATAGGAAGTGAACTCCTATATACATACTCTCTAAACAGCTTCATAAATTTCGAGATCTTCCACATAAGGATTTTTTGGCTAGATTGAATACTAGTAATTCCTGTTCTTACTAAACCATAATTTATTAGGAATTATGTATGTTTCAATATTTACACATTTCCCGTTGTTTGGCTTCTTAATCAAGCTACCAACACAAATATCTGTAATAAGAGCGCAGCTCTTCCTGCGCCGAAGTCGCAAGAAGCGAAGCTCTTTTCCGGTAACATGTACGAACAATTGAAGTCATTGTAACGTCCTTCGTCACGGAAGTAGCTAGTATAGAGCTACCGCGGTCCTATTTTTACAATGCTGTTTGGCTTTACTACACATTCTCAAAAATATCTCTTTATTTGATAATTTTTTTCTATGGTTATGTAAATTCATGACATTAAAAATTATAGAAACTGAAGCTTTTTTCAAATTTTTAGTCTTTTCTTCTCTCCACCCAAACCGGAAGTATATGTTTGGGCTATTGTGATTCTCTTTTTACACGATTTAGAGGGATCAGGCAAAGTATTTCATGTCGGAAAATAAAATTGGAATTTAATCACCGACATACTTAACTTTTATAATAACAGATAATAACAGTTATATTTGATAAACAAGACATCTTCAAATATGAAGTCCCTCTACTGGGCCTCACTCTTTCCGCAACATTACGCTGAGGCCATAGACGGGGCAATTAAATGCAACAGTACCAAATGCATTTGTGTTTTCTCTTGAACTGTATAATTCATTCGAATGTTTTTCTTTACTTATTATTAATTTTACATTTATTACTTTATCGCTATAAAACGAATATATAGATATTATTTTAAATAGTGTTATTTAGAAAATAAGATTAAAAAACAACAGCATTTAGACGCTTCTCTCGTTTCAGGTAATGCTTGTTTTCAAAATGAATGATTTTGCCCAGCAACAAATTCAAGTATATTATAAAAAAAAACAATTACAGGTAAATTTTGAATGTATTAAAATGGGTAATGTCATGATTCAAAAATTATACTATACTATCGAAACAAATGTACGAGCTTCGCTCTCTCCAGGCCATGCCTGAGTCATATTAAGAGCGTAGCTCTCGGGCGCCCGAGCGAAGCTCTTTAATGGTAACACATGCGTGCGTAAACAGAGTTGCTTCCCCTTTCTTCACCTTGCCTTTAACAATTTTCGTCCGGAAGTAGACGTCCAGTGGGGAAACAGGAAGTGTATCCTTGAAGCAAAGACAAATGTGTTTCAACCCATACATGAACATCTTTGTATAGTGAAAACAATACCCATGTTTTATTACTTATTTATTTAGGTAAAATCTTATATACATTCTGAGTGAAAATAAATTAAATAAAAAATAAATTTTGATACTACATATGTAGCAGGCATGAAACGTCGTTCAGAGATTATCATACTATGACGTCACAAGCACGTCACACTCCATTGGCCTTCATCGGTTATTTCCGGAAGGATGAAAAATAACCGTAAAATCTTGGAACTGCTAGCCGTTGCATTTATCTCTTTGTCGGTTCTTCATGACTTTTTAATTTCAGTTTTTTTTGTTTTCTGAAGATCCATTTTGTCATCAACCATGTTCTGTTAAAATTTCTACCGGGAGATATTTTCAAAAAGAGCCGCATTAAACCAATAGGTCAACGTGTACAGTCTTAAATTTCATCAGCTTCTGATTCGATTTGTTGTGTATATGAACGAAATAGTTAACATTTTTGAAAGTCTGGTTATAGTCTTTACATAATTCATGTATGCATCACCACGCATAAAAGAAATATTGGATAATTCATTTATGTCGAAATCAACAATACTTGTCCAGACAACGAACCCGAGTTTAACGCCATTTTTCAGCAACGTATCACATTTTCACAACGCATGGTCGGGCAGGTAACCGGGATTGAATCCGGCCATCTTGGTGAAGACGAGCGCGCTATCCATTGCGCCACCGACCCATCATATACGTTACGCACAAGAACAAATATCTACTTTAGCTTTGAAAATGGCGTCATTGATGCAAAAAATATATTGCGAATACATTTTTAACAATCATCAACGATACAAAAAATCTACATACGGGAGACCGGGGCAAGTTCGGCCACCCCTGAAATATTTATTTGAGCTATTATTTACAACTTTAAAGATCTTAGCAGTTTAGTTAGCTGGGCATTCACACAAAAAAAATAGCGAGGAAAACTCTAATTTAAAGTTACTAAACAGGAGAAAATTACTTTTGACAGGGTAGAAAGAAAATCATGATCTCGCTTCTAGTTATGCGAACTTTCTGTAAACGGAATTGCTATTTTTTTTACGGTCAAACGCTCACTACCATATTGTTGTACGATAAGAATTTATTGAAATATAAATATGGGCCCGGACAGTTTCGGCCAATGATACCGTGCCTTGTTCAGCCCATGTAACACATAAAAAGTCGTAAAATTGGCGGTAAAATCTGACGTTGCATGCTTTATAACGTCATAATTAAGCTGATTCCAATGGGGCCGAATTTACCCGAATGCCTGTCCGAACTTATCCAATGGCGGGGCTCGTTCGGCCATCAGATCATCCGACAGGGAAAATTACATAATGTTCAAAAACCGACGTGCTGCCATACTTCCCAAAACGGACTTTAAAAACAGGGTCGAATTTGCCCCGTTCCCCCTATTGTTATATCATTAGAGTTTATGTTTTATTGTTATCCCTCAACTAGCCGACTTTAAATAAATTTTATCTTACCTCATTCTGAAAGCAGTATTATCTCATTCTGAATCAGTAAATATCAGAGATCAACAAAAGCTTCGCTCTTTTAAGGCTTTGCTTTTTCATATTATATTAAGAACTACGTTAATATTTCTTATTGGTAACTGTCTTTCCGTCATACTCCGTCATACTCCGAGTAATCGGGGACCAATCATGTTGTGACGTCCTTTTTGCCGGCATACCATACCACAACATCCAAGGGCAGTCTTCGTGGCCTTCAAATGACCTGGCGCGGGGGTCGATCTGACGAAGTCGACATTCTTGTCCTTCTGTGATCCTTCCGGGAGGTCTATTACGACTCACAGCCACCTGACTCAGACCGGTGTCTATAATAGATGGTCGGGGTAACCAGGGATCAACTGGTGTGTCTAATAAGCCCTATCATTATTGTTGTTATTTTCATTTGATGATTTATCCGGGCGCTTGCTCCCTGTGCTATATTCAGCATCAGGAGCAGATATGAATGTACATCTGGTTCACTTTAACGTTACCAAGATGTGCGTGCGCAGGCATGTGTGTATCACTGTACTTAACAGACTAACAATGGCCTGGCTGTAAAATAAGGCAATGCCTATATTGTTTGCGATTTCCATGTCGGAATGTCTTCGCAAATCCTGCATGCTTTTTCAAAAGCTCACGATCAATTAAAATAGCGTACCCCTTATAATTCCGACACCTGCCGACCTGTAAATGTAAATAATATCACTTTTGAATGTTTTGAGAGGAAATCTACCAGTAAAAACACAATTCCTAAATGAAGCGTTACAGTCGTGACTGCGAGCCTATATTTGGTCACTATCGGGCCCCTAAACACTGAATGGTTATATAAAGATTCCCACGTGGTAATTAGGGGAAAACTTAAGTAACCAAAATTTCTTCATCTTAAGGTCGTGTAATCAAAGAGTAAGAGTCACTGGATAAATAGATACCAAGTGGATGTTGCTTTGTGTAATATCTAATTAAGTTAATGAAAATAGCATGCCCTTAACTTTTAACTGGACTCAGCGATGACAACACAATAAGTTGTTTTAACTGGACTCGGCGATGACAACCCAATAAGTTGTTTTAACTGGAATCGGCGACGACAAACCCAATAAGTTGTTTTAACTGGACTCGGCGACGACAACCCGATAAGTTGTTTTAACTGGACTCGGCGACGACAACCCAATAAGTTGTTTTAACTGGACTCGGCGATGACAACCCGATAAGTTGTTTTAACTGGAATCGGCGACGACAACCCAATAAGTTGTTTTAACTGGACTCTGCGATGACAACCCGATAAATTGTTTTAACTGGACTCGGCGACGACAACCCAGTAAGTTGTTTTAACTGGACTCGGCGATGACAACCCAATAAGTTGTTTTAACTGAACTCGGCGACGACAATCCAATAAGTTGTTTTAACTGAACTCGGCGACGACAACCCAATAAGTTGTTTTAACTGAACTCGGCGACGACAACCCAATAAGTTGTTTTAACTCGGCAATATACCTTGATTAATTCTTGTTTTAGCTTGATGCGACAATTATAAGTACGATAACTACAACCTGATTAATTCGTGTTTTAACTTAAAACATGAATCGAAAGTTATTTTGAGAGCTTCTGAAAACGTCTGTTTCCTTTGTCAAGCAAAGAGGTCAAATGAGTGTTGTGTCGACTCTAAGTCAGCAATCAAAAACCACCCACCCTATCCTCATCCAACATTTTCCACCCTCCTTACCCTCATACCACCACTTCCACCCACCCCACCCTCATCACACCACTTCCACCCACCCTACCCTTATCCACCCTACCCTCATCCCACCATTTCCAAAGTCCCTACCATCATCCCTTCACTTCCACCCACTTCCATCCTCCCCACCCTCATCCCACCACTTCCACCCACTACCACCCACCCTACCCTAATCCCACCACTTCCACCACTACCAGACACCCTACCCTCATCCCACCACTTCCATCACTACCACCCACCCTGCCCTCATCCACCCTACCCTCATCCCACCACTTCCAGGCACTACCACCCANGCCCTCATCCCTCCACTTCCACCATCACAACCCACCCACCCTCATCCCTCCACTTCCACCCACTACCACCCACCCTACCCTCATCGCACCACTTCCACCACGACCATCCTCCCCACCCTCATCCCTCCCCTTCCACCCACTACCATCCCCCCCACCCTCATCCCACCACTTCCACCATCACAACCCACCCACCCTCATCCCCCCCCTTCCACCACTACCATCCTCCCCACCCTCATCCCACCACTTCCACCATCACAACCCACCCTACCCTATTCCCACCAGTTCCACCCACTACAACCCACCCTACCCTCATCCCACCACTTCCACCATTACAACCCACCCAACCCTCATCCCACCATTTCCACCATTACAATCCACCCTACCCTATTCCCACCACTTCCACCCACTACCACCCTTCCTACCCTAATCCCATCACTTCCACCACTACCATCCTCCCCACCCTCATCCCACCACTTCCATCACTACCATACTCCCCATCCTCATCCCACAACTACCATCCACCATACCCTTATCCCACCACTTCCATCACTACCATCCACCCACCCTCAGTCCACCACTTCCACCATTACAACCCACCCTATTCTATTACCACCACTTCCACCGCTACCATCCACCCTAACCTCATCCCACCACTTCCACCACTACCATCCTCCCCACCCTTATCCCACAACTACCACCCACTACCACCGACCCTACCCTCATCCCACCAATATTATCACTACCATACTCCCCACCCTCATCCCACAACTACCACCCACCCTACCCTCATCCCACCACTTCAACCACTACCACCCACCCACCCTCATCCCACCACGTCCACCATTACAACCCACCCTACCCTATTCCCACCACTTCCACCCACTACCACCCACCCTACCCTCATCCCACCAATTCCACCATTACCACCCACCCTACCCTCATCCCACCAATTCCACCATTACAACCCACCCTACCCTCATCCCACCTTTTCCACCATTACAATCAACCCTACCCTATTCCCACCACTTCCAACCACTACCACCCACCCTACCCTCATCCCACCACTTCCACCACTACCACCCACCCTACACCTCCCCACCACTTCCAACCACTACCACCCACCCTACCCTCATCCCACCACTTCCACCACTACCACCCACCCTACACCTCACCACTACTACTGCCACTACCACCCACCCTACACCTCACCACTACTACTGCCACAATCTCGTATTATTTCTTCGGACTTTATATTAAATGCTAAGGTGCCTTTGTCTTTAGAGTGACCCGTCCCGTGTTATCTTACTGTGTCCACGAGTATGAATAAAACGAGATATTTTTTGGCGATTCAGTATGCACTTCCTCACACACTGAAGAATTTTGGCGTCAGTTTTCTATTCCTGTCAACAATGAGTTGTTATGGGAGGCTCAATTAGGTTACCTAGCCATAATTACTACAAAAATATGAAATCAGCTTACTCATGATGTGTTTGTCTAATTCCCATCGCGTACTGCACACTGGCTAATATGAAACTTGAACCGTACCGATTTCATTTGTTAACTCGAGTTCTCCCAAAGGGTTCACTATGTTATTAATTACATCTAATTATACTCTGAAAACTTTCATCCCCAAGTTCTCAACAATTGATTAAGATTTGCGAACGCAAGAATTTGATTTTCGCTTAGATGATTTTGGACAATTAAATGGAAATTTTAAAATGAATTAATCCTTTCGCTGCTGATCTGCTCTAATCCGCTGTCTCTGTCGTGAACAGCCTTCTGTTAGCGATAATGTGATGCACGCGGCGGCAGACCAGGTCCTGTTATATTACGTAACTAGGATGTGGTGCACAAAACAGACGTAAAAAACACAAACACCACGATTAGAAATATTTATCCCGATTCACGCAATCCGCATTGGGTGTTTTTTTGTTTTAATTCTGCGAATCCAAATGGATGTGTACCATCAGGGGAAATGTCGACCCAGAGTTTAGTGTGGCCTCGATTCCTTTTGTTTCTTACTGATCATGTCGACACTAAATATGACATTGTTCTGGTATGTTGACTTTTGTATTTGCATTGGGTATCGTAATTCACATCTCGAGTGTCGTATCTGGTCAATTGTACAGATTTAGAGTTGCGCACCTTCCTATGGACCCCAGTGTCGTGTCTGGTCAATTGTACAGATTTAGAGTTGCGCACCTTCCTATGAACCCAGTGTCGTCTAAATTGGACCGTAAAAAGGAGATAGCATATTAACAGCTAATAACATGATCATCTTGTGAAGATAACGAAAACTGTTTGGTTCAATACGGAAAAGTCCACTTTCGGAGTGATATTGATATCATCAGAACGAATTCTTGACATTTAAAATTCACCTGCCTTAATTTGAAGTTCTATGATAAATTAGCCCATACTTGCTTGTATAAGCCGTAGATCTTCATCCCCAACAGCAGCCATTTCCTAATGGTTTCTTCCGTTTCTGCTGTATCGGTTACCGTGTGAGTTATACGGTCCCTGCAGTGATACATCCTTGTTAACATACGATAACATAGTATCCTACTTTCCCACTCAATTTCCGACTAAAATTTTATCATTAAAACTCGTAATTGTGTCTTCGAAATATTCAATAAAATTTTAATAATTTATCACTTTTGAATTTAGTCATGTCGCTGGAGAGTTATATCTCATTCGTTCGATGTACCGTGAGCGTATGGTGACGTCACAGTGACCGTAACTCCAGCTGCTGCAGTTTTGAAGAAAATAATTCAAGATAAATAATTAAAATTAAGTCAAATCAAAGTCAAACCAGTCACACGGGTCACACCGGTCACACGGGTCACACCAGTCACACGGGTCAAACGAATCACGCCAGTCACACGGGTCAAACGAGTCACATCGGTTACACAAGTCACACGGGTCACACAAGTCACACCAGTCACACGGGTCAAACGAATCACGCCAGTCACACGGGTCAAACGAGTCACATCGGTTAGACAAGTCACACGGGTCACACGGGTCACACAAGTCACGACAGTCACACGGGTCAAACGAGTCACATCGGTTACACAAGTCACACGGGTCACACGGGTCACACAAGTCACACCAGTTACACCTGCCGATTAAATTTCATCGGTCAAACAATTCACATCGCTAATACAAGTCACATCGCTAATACAAGTCACAAAGTCACATCGCTAATACAAGTCACATCGCTAATACAAGTCACATCGCTAATCCAAGTCACATCGGCTACACTGGTAAAACCAGTGGGTCCCACTGTGTCTGTGATGTAACATTCTCGTGAGTCAGCACTCTTGAAAAAGATACTGTACCCTAAGAAGCAAAACATAGTATACCTCTAGCACACATGCACACACGCATCTATGCGGAGGTATGTAGGCATGTGGCATAGGACTTGGAGCCTGGGCGTGATGTAGATTACCCAGTGATATCTGCAATTTTGTTGATTTCATTAATCTATTATTTGAATATTATATATATATATAATATAATGCGCCTAAGAGTGGCGTTTTCTAGCCAGATAGGGTGTTATATCAATTTATACTGAATATATACTGTTACAAATGTTCAGTTACTGCATAATATTCTGCGCCAGCCAGACACTGCGACTTGGACTACATTAGGGAATAATAGACCTGGCAGTGAGGTTCCAAACGAAAGTCAAGGCTACACTTTCAATGGTGTCACCGTCTGTTTGAATAAGATTTTTCTTAATTTGAGTGTAACCTTCGATCTTGTTTGTGTGATGAAGATAATGAGAGACATCAGATCCAAGACGCCGCCATGCCAGACACAGTCAGTCACGTGCATAATGGACGTGCTTCCCATTGATTTGGGTTTCTGGTTAATTCCCTTGTAATAAATATAACTTAAATATCTAGCTTTCTCCCGGGATCTTTACAACAGCGTGATAGAGCTGTAACGAGGAGAGTTCAGTAGTAAGTCGGTGACGATGTATTCAACTATGACAACATCAAATAACAAACATAACTTTAGTGTGCAACACATTATACCTCGATCTGCTTTAAATTATGCTTAAGTGTGCTACACAGTATATTTCAATTTGCTACAAAGTATAGTTGTGTGTACTACAAACATTCACTGTGGTATATACTAGATAGGATTACACTGAATACGTTGGCGGAGGACTATTGCGAGTTGAAGATAGTCCAGTCTCTTTGTTTCTTTAAAATAAACTATGTTGAATATAGGGCTGAACACGAAAGTGTATGAATCTTGTTTGTTATATTATATTCCATATATATATTACAATTTCAAAAGTTTATAAAAAACAACGAGTCAACTGATATTTTTCTTCGCGCTCATTTATGTAAGTGGTCATGTGTTATGTCCTGATTTCATTGTATGTTTTTTTTGTTACTGTTGTTGTTGTTGTTGTTGTTGTTGTTTTACACTTAAAAAAATAAAACAAAACTTTCTGAGTATGCCTACAATCTAACAGTTCAAAATATAGATACATTGTATATGTCTACTATGTAATAGTCTATGATTCAGCTACGTTGTATATGTCCACAATGTAACAGTCTATGATTCAGCTACATTGTATATGTCCACAATGTAACAGTCTATGATTCAGCTACGTTGTATATGTTCACAATGCAACAGTCTATGATTCAGCTACATTGTATATGTCCACAATGCAACAGTCTATGATTCAGCTACATTGTATATCTCCACAATGTAACAGTCTATGATTCAGCTACGTTGTATATGTCCACAATGTAACAGTCTTTGATTCAGCTACGTTGTATATGTCCAAAATGTAACAGTCTATGATTCAGCTACATTATACATGTCCACAATGTAACAGTCTATGATTCAGCTACGTTGTATATGTCCACAATGCAACAGTCTATGATTCAGCTACGTTGTATATGTCCAAAATGTAACAGTCTATGATTCAGCTACGTTGTATATGTCCACAATGTAACAGTCTATGATTCAGCTACATTGTATATGTACACAATGTAACAGTCTATGATTCAGCAACATTGTACATGTCCACAATGTAACAGTCTATGATTCAGCAACATTGTATATGTCCACAATGTAACAGTCTATGATTCAACTACATAGTACATGTCCACAATGTAACAGTCTATGATTCAGCTACATTGTATATGTCAACAATGTAACTGTCTTTGATTCAGCTGCTACATTGTATATGTCCACAATGTAATAGTCTATGATTCAGCTACATTG